TTTGTAAACCTCCCTGGGAACACAACTGAGGATTAGCTTGAAGAGTTATTACTAATGCAGTCTTCAGCCAGAGACATGTGCCTCAGGACCCGGTGGGATATATCTCTGTGTCTTGCTCCATGTAGCACAGGGGAAATCAGTTCAAACCTCTTTAGCCCTCAGTGGCTATGTGACTGGATACATTCACCCACTTGAATATTAGGCCTTTTTGACTTAGATCAGTTGTGCACCTCTAAACTAGCAGTGTCCTCTCCCCATCTCAGACACTGCATTTTCTTTCTTGCAGTTACTGTACCTTTCTGCAGTCTCAAGGCATTCTCCAGGTACCCGTCCTCAGTGACGGGGTGTCCATCTATCTCCAGCTGTAGTGTGAAATCCCGCACTGCCCAGATGAAGTCTGGGAAGAAACGGACAAATTCGGCAGAGTTCTCCTCCTCTTCATCTTCCCCAGAGGAAGCTTTTGCTTTAATCTTTTTTGTCAGCTCAGTGACATAGCTGGGGAGTGCTAAGGAAAACAATTCCAGGGCTGGTTTGGGGCCTGTTTGAACCTGCAGTTGTGGGCTGGCCAGAAAAGATGATACGGCTTTTGAGCAGAGAGATTTATACTACAGAAAGACCACATGTAGTCATACCATGGAAGTCGAACGGAATCTGTTCTGGAGGGCTGTTCAACTTCCAAAACGGTCGGAAACCAAAGTGCAGCTTCTGATTGGCTGCAGGAAGCTCTGGCAGCCAATCGGAAGCCGTGCCAGACATTCGGCTTCCGAAAATCGTTCAAAAACTGGAACACTCACTTCCAGTTTTCGATCGCTTGGGAACAGAAATGCACGAGTTCCAAGGCATTCAGCAACCAAGGTACGACTGAATTGCAATTGTAAGTTAGGCAGGGTTTGTGGCAAGGGGCTGACATCTCTCATTTTCACACCTTAAGGCCAATTCCTAATTTTATGCCTTCTGGAGTTCCTGCCTGCACCCCCACCCCCTTATCTATCTGTAAAACATATCTGTGGAGGTTCCCAATTTGCAGCTGTAATCACTGATCCACCCCCCTCACAACGTGTCCCAATGAGCTCCTCACCCACCTTCCGATCCTGGGAGATTGCCTGCCTCTTCTATCGGCTGCATCCCCTCTGTGTTTCCTCCTGCACCACCCCATAGTTCCTCAGCATGATGCAGACCACTCTAAGCATCATGGAGTCTCAGACCAGGAGAGTTCATCCCACCTGCTTCTGCATCAAGAGATCTGTCTCCCATGGAGCGAAACTCCTAGGGGGACAACCTTCAACTGCCTCCTCCTAGATCCTCCAGGCCAAGCACACAAGTCCAGCTGGGATTTCCGATGCCCCAAAAGGATACTGCAGGTTCTCCAGCGCATTTTGGTCAATGGTGCCCATGCTGTTGTACACCAGGGTGCTGCTGAGCAGAATGGCCAGGGCAAAGATCCACGAGTCGTTCTGTGTGTTTCCCTGAAACAGAAATATAAATATCAGATACCACCAGTTTCAGCCAGAACTCAGTTCTGCCACCTCTCTGGTAGACACCATTGCCATTAACACCAGGTCAACACACACCACAATTGCTTCATTACGTAAATCATGTTCAGAATACCACAACACACACTTGTCTCTGACTGGCAACTTCTGCATTCCTATGGACTATTTCGGCTGAAAAAAACCTCCTGGAAAATCTCCTGGAAACCTTGTCGCTGAAGAAGCCCAATGGGTGAAACAAGGCTGTATCCTGAGAACTGGTCTTTCATCAGCTGCCTTATTCTTACTAAGTAGTTCTGTTTGTTACACTCTTAAGACATAGGATGATGCAGAAGGAAGATATCAGTATGAAATGTCGTTGCCCACAGGAACCGTACGTTGTAATCGTTGGACTTGACAATCTTTGGACTTGACTATCCTTGGACGTTACGACAATAAAAACATATAGAAGGTTAATAGTAATATGATATAAATAAATAAATAAATAATAATAATAATAATAATAATAATAATAAATTTATTATTTATACCCCACCCATCTGGCTGGGTTTCCCCAGCCACTCTGGGCGGCTTCCAACTGAATATTAAAAACAGTACAGCTTCAAACATTAAAAACTTCCCTAAAGAGGGCTGCCTTCAGATGACTTTTAAAAGTAAAATAGTTGTTTATTGCTTTGACATCTGCTGAGAGGGCGTTCCACAGGGCAGGCGCCACTACCGAGAAGGCCCTCTGCCTGGTTCCCTGTAACCTTACTTCTCGCAATGAGGGAACCGCCAGAAGGCCCTCGGTGCTGGATCTCAGTGTCCGGGCTGAACGATGGGGATATGTTATTGCCACCAGGAACTGTGCTTTGCAATTTTTTGATATGACAATTATATATACAGTAGTACCTCGGATTAAGTACTTAATTCGTTCCGGAGGTCCATACTTAACCTGAAACTGTTCTTAACCTGAAGCACCACTTTAGCTAATGGGGCCTCCTGCTGCCGCCATAGCCCGATTTCTGTTCTCATCCTGAAGCAAAGTTCTTAACCTGAAGCACTATTTCTGGGTTAGCGGAGTCTGTAACCTGAAGCTTATGTAAACTGAAGCGTATGTAACCTGAGGTACCACTGTAATGTTATTGTATAATGTTATGTTACTTTACAGCTAGTTACTGTGTGTGTTGTGGTATTCTTAACACCAGGTCAGCATATTTTGCCACAAGGCTCTTTCGAAAGGGCTAGTCTTCCGCTGTCATCCCAGCTGCCATCTCCCCCAGCTCACCTTCTGCACATCACCCAACCCTTCTGTGTCCAGCAACAGCAGTGTGAGGTCAGGCCTGTGAGGGTGAGGGAGGCACCACATCCAGATGCCCTTTGTAAGCCCCTGCACTGTGGCACCCAAACAGAAACCTGAGGAAAGAGCGGGCAATGATTCAGAGAGAGAAAACAACAGGTGCCATGGCTTAAGGCGCAGGTCACTGGGAAACCCCACTGAACTCAATGAAACATTTGTCACATCCCCATCATAGCTTTAAAGCACACTCACCCCCCCCCCCAAGAATCATGGGAACTGTATTTTGCTTGGGTGCTGTAAAGTGTCGTGCACATTGAACTTGGGACTAGGATGTGGAAGAACAGAGTTGGAATCCACACGGGGAGACCTTGGGCTAGTTCAGGGGTCAGTAACCTTTTTCAGCTGTGGCCCGGTCCACCGTCCCTCAGACCATGTGGTGGGCCAGACTATATTTTGAAGGGGGGGGGGGGAATGAACAAATTCCTATGTCCCACAAATAACCCAGAGATGCATTTTAAATAAAAGGACACATTCTACTCATTCTGATTCCAGGACTGTCTGAGGGCTGGATTGAGAAGGCGATTGGGCCGCATCTGGCCCACGGGCCTTAGGTTGCCTACCCTAGTTGCTGTCTCTCAGTTGAACTTATCTCACAGGGTTGTGGGAGCATAAAATGTATATGGGGGAAACTGAATACCACCTGGAGCTCCTTGGAGGAAACTTGGGGTATATATATATAATAAAAAATAACCTGCCGTATTTCTGGACCCTCCTGTGAATTCTGCTGAGTGGGGACCCCAAACCTCTGCCTCAAAGTCCTATCTCCCCTCTGGTTCTGTATAAATATTAATTTACACCTCTTCCTCCATGCTTCTTCCCAGGCTAGGCAGAAAACACAGGGGCTCCGATACCGCATTCCAGACACACCAGACACATCTGCCTTGCTCCTCATGTGAAGCTACTAGACTCCAGCCCTTCCCTTGAGTAACGGGGAATATTCATGAAGCCAGTCACCTTTTCTCTTGCCGGCAAGCCTGTTCATGAGGTAGGACTTGCCAGTGCGGTACAACCCCGCAATGGCCACCACCACCACTGGCTGGCGGATCCTGGCAAGCACCTCTGCAGCCTCCCGGTTCACCACCAGCTTCCCGTCCGGCATGTTCTCAATTAGGCAAACAGGAGCCTCCATGTGGACCTGCCCTGGGGCCATCGTGCAAAAGATGATGGGTCTGCAAAAGGAAAACAGAGGAGCTCACAACACAGTGGAAACTCAAGTGTGTCTCTGCCTATTAGTGAGTCAGTGTTTCCCAAACTTGGGTCTCCAGCTGTTTTTGGACTACAGTTCCCATCATCCCTGACCACTGGTCCTGCTAGCTAGGGATGGTGGGAGTTGTAGTCCAATTCAATTCAAGTTTGTCTCTGCCTGTGAGCCTGTGAATGAGTGAAACCTGACTGGAAAAAGAGTTCAGGAAGGGCACAAATCACGATTCAGTTTCGCCTCACTGGGATCCCAGATATCTTCTGGAACCTGAAAGTTACCCAGTTGGACATTCTCAGGATAGTTGTGACAAGTCTACATCTGTCCTAGATGCTGTCATTTTTCTTTCATGCACACCTGGAAATAGACTTTGTCCATGCTGTCACCATTCCCCCCCAGCACCACACCTATGGCTTTCATTTTATCGGAACTGATGTGAAGCCGGCAGAACTGCCCCCCTCCCCATTTTAAGAATACATTCTGGCGTGCCAACATTTTAATTCCCGCCCCTCCCGTGCCTCTGTTGCAAGAGCCACGTATTATTTATACTATCGGCAAAAGTTGAAGCAAAAGTTCTAGCTGCACGCTGCAGGCACGAAAGCAAAAGTCTCCACTGCAAAGGTCAGTGCGGGGGGGCGGGGAGGGCGCGGCACGGGACTTGCATGTTTGGTTAACCCTTTCCTTGCCAGCCACCTCCCCGCTGCTAGGATTCCCTTCCTTGCAGGTGTGTCAAAACTTGAATATTGGGGAGGCCCAGGTAAGCCCCACCCCGCATAATCGATCACATGACACGGTGCACACACCCTATTTGAATGACAATGCCCTTCAACTTGGGGTGGGGGCTCAAATATTTTATTGGGCGGGGGCAAAGACCCTTCGGCCCCTCCGAATTGGCTCCTACACTCCTTTCTCGGCTGCTTTTGCTCCTGGCTAAGATTCCCGCGCCTTGTTTACCTTGCAAAAGAAAGGAGCGCTAGGGGTTAACAACAACAGCGACATCGCGAAGTTGCCGTTTCTTACTTTTTGGTGTTGTTTTCTTTTTGCAGGGACGGGCCTCGGGAGGATGGGTCTTGACCGGACTCGATTGTTGCGGGTTCTCTCTTGCAGACGAGCTGGCAGGCCGGCAGGAAGAGGGAGAGAGCCTTGCTCGGAGTTCCCGGTGGAGACGGCAGAGGGGACGGCAGGAGAAGCTCAAGCCTCGCCTTCAGGGTAAGAGCAAGAACTCGGGAATTGCAAGACGCTTCTGTGGCTCGAAAGCTCTTGCAGCGCCCCAGCTGCCCTTTCAGGAAATGGGAGGTCGTCGCGACTAATCAGCCTCCTTTATTGCCCTGGCGACGCTTTAAAATATGCGAGGACCGAAAGCGAAAGTGCCCGGGCTCCGCACCTCTTCTCTGAAAGGAGCGCGATTCTGGGAAACGAGCAAACAGAAAGGCAGGTGGAATTAAGCAATGGGGGTGGGTGGGAATTCTTCCAGTAGCACCGTGTTGCGTGGCGAGTTCCCGCCCCCACCAGGATAAATAAAGACACGAGACACCATAATTTAAGGTTAAATGGGCGAATTAGGCCACAACTTTATTGAATTCAGGAATGAGAGGTATTGGCTTAGGCATTGGTCCTATCGACTATCCGGCTCCAGCCCATTTGCTGGAGACACGGGCAGTGGCGTAGCATGGGTTGTCAGCGCCCGGGGCAAGGCAAGTAATTTGCGCCCCCTAACCCGTGGATTTGCGCCCCCTAACCTGTGGATTTGTGCCCCCTAACCCTAATCCCCAGATGTTGCGCCCGGTGCGGCCGGCCCCCCTGCACCCCCACGCTGCGCCACTGGACACGGGGAAGGGTTAACACTATATCGGGGGAGTCTCCTACTGAGGAACGTCGACTAGGAGCTCCCATGGGTCACCGCTCAGGGCGTGTCTTTGGCCCTTCGCTTGCGGGGGGGGAGGTGATGGCGTTCCTCCCCCCCCCCCACACACATCCTCTTAACCCCTTCTTACCAATGGTCAGCCCGGTCGCAGAAGGCACCCAGGAAAAAGGTCCAAATGCTGTTCAAAACCTGCAAAAGAGTCACCTAAAGGAACAAGGTAAGCAAGAAGAAAACCACTTCTAACCCCCCAAATACAAACCTAACCAAAACGTGAGGGCTAGCCGGCGAAAAGAGGGCGAGCCCCCTCTGCCCCGGCCCTAAATAGGGCAGGCCATGCGGCCGGGATTCCCCTGTTCTCGCGGGGGCTGAAACCACCCCCCGCTCACATGGGGGTGGGCGTGAAGCCCACAACCCCACCTCCTGGGCAGGCCAGAAGTGGCTTTGTTGTTGTTTAGTCATTCAGTTGTGTCCGACTCTTCGTGACCCCATGGACCAGAGCACGCCAGGCACTCCTGTCATCCACTGCCTCTCGCAGTTTGGTCAAACTCATGTTTGTCGCTTCAAGAACACTGTCCAACCATCTCGTCCTCTGTCGTCCCCTTCTTCTTGTGCCCTCCATCTTTCCCAACATCAGGGTCTTTTCCAGGGAGTCTTCTCTTCTCATGAGGTGGCCAAAGTACTGGAGCCTCAGCTTCAGGATCTGTCCTTCCAGCAAGCACTCAGGGCTAATTTCCTTAAGAATGGATGCGTCTGATCTTCTTGCAGTCCATGGGACTCTCAAGAGTCTCCTCCAGCACCATAATTCAAAAGCATCAATTCTTCGGCGATCAGCCTTCTTTATGATCCAGCTCTCACTTCCATACATCACTACTGGGAAAACCATGGCTTTAATTATACAGACCTTTGTTGGCAGGGTGATGTCTCTGCTTTTTAAGATGCTGTTTAGGTTTGCCATAGCCTTTCTCCCAAGGAGCAGGTGTCTTAATTTCGTGGCTGCTGTCACCATCTGCAGTGATCATGGAGCCCAAGAAAGTAAAATCTCTCACTGCCTCCATTTCTTCCCCTTCTATTTGCCAGGAGGTGATGGGCCCAGTGGCCATGATCTTCGTTTTTTTGATGTTGAGCTTCAGACCATATTTTGCGCTCTCCTCTTTCACCCTCATTAAAAGGTTATTTAATTCCTCCTCACTTTCTGCCATCAAGGTTGTGTCATCTGCATATCTGAGGTTGTTGATTTTTCTTCCGGCGATCTTAATTCCGGCTTGGGATTCATCCAGCCCAGCCTTTCGCATGGACAAACTCCATGGACAAAGGCAACAGTAGCACCGTAGAGACCGGCTAAGTTTGTTATTGGTATGAGCTTTCGTGTGCATGCACACTTCTTCAGATACAGTACACTGAAACAGAAGTCACCAGACCCTTATATATAGTGAGAGGGTGGGGAGGGGTATTACTCAGAAGGGTGGTGGGAATGGTTGATTGGCCGATAGGTGTTGTAAACCTGTTGACGACTGTAATTGGTCTTACAGGAAAAAGCAAGGGGTGAGATGTATAATGAGATAAGAATCCAATGTCTCTATTCAGACCAGGCATCTCCATGGTTTTAAGTTTGGTAAAGGTAAAGGGACCCCTGACCATTAGGTCTAGTCATGACCGACTCTGGGGTTGCGGTGCTCATCTCGCTTTATTGGCCGAGGGAGCTGGCGTACAGCTTCCGGGTCACGTGGCCAGCATGACTAAGCCGCTTCTGGCGAACCAGAGCAGTGCACGGAAACGCCGTTTACCTTCCTGCCGGAGCGGTACCTATTTATCTACTTGCACTTTGACGTGTTTTTGAACTGCTAGGTTGGCAGGAGCAGGGACTGAGCAACGGGAGCCCACCCCGTCACGGGGATTTGAACCATCAACCTTCTGATCAGCAAGTCCTAGGCTCTGTGGTTTAACCCACAGTGCCACCCGTGTCCCAGCAAGCTTGTTAGGAGACGGTAAATGTTCACTGGTTTGCACAGATTGCTAACTGCCTTCCTAGGAAACAGGAGGCCCATGAGAACCAACAGGATAATCCTACTGCCCAAATTGGAAGATGTGGGAAAAATAAAAACAAACCCAAAGCAACCCAGTCTCTCTCTAATTCTCTGTTTCTTAGCTCTTAATTTTGTCATGTTTAAGGTTGTGAAATTTCTTGTGCACATTAGTAATCAAAGCAGCCACGAATGCTTCTCCATTTGCTAGCCCGCTGCACTCAAGAAGTTCTCAGTGAACTAAATCCAGCAGAGATAAAGAGTTTTTAATAGATAACAAATTGGATAATTAAAAAAGATGTGGATTACGCAGAGTAGTAGAAAAGCAAACAAACCAGGAAAAGCATGGAAGGGAAGGCATTTGGTATTAGTATACATGCTGTGTTTGGTACAAGTTGTAAGTGGGACAGAGGGAGGGGGTTAAATATGCTCTCTATTCCTGTTTTTGAAAATGCAATTAATAATAATAAAAGTTCTCAGTAAACTGGGCCTGTTGTTCTAGTTTGTCTGGTCCCATCAAACTGGAACCACAGGGATTTAAAGAATGATGGGTTTCCTTCCCCCAAAAATGTCTCCTTCCCCTTCCTCACAAATTGCTGCTGCAGTCGCTGTTAGCTGTGTGGGGAGTACTATAGTGACAACTAGTGGCAGTATGACAAGTACTACAGCGATGTATTTAAAACATCTGTCAACACATGAAAAGAGGGGACATAAACATGATAAAAACTAAAAGGAAATTCCCAGGTGTTCCTATCAAGAGAAGAGCTATGTTTAAACAGAAATCTGCATTTTCAACAAGGTAAACTAACCCATAATGATATATATATGTATTGTGTGAATGCTCCGCTAGCCAACCATGGTATAATAATAATAATAATAATAAATTTTATTTATATCCCGCCCTCCCCAGCCGAAGCTGGGCTCAGGGCGGCTAACAACAATCAATAGCTCAACATTCTAAAACATTCATAAAATTAATTAAATCAAATTAAAATCAAATTAATGGCAACCATCAAGCAAAATTTTGTGCAGATTGCCAGAGGAGGGGGTCAGGCTGCGCCCTGACAAAAGGCCTGGTGGAACAGCTCTGTCTTGCAGGCCCTGCGGAAGGATGTCAGGTCCCGCAGGGCCCTAGTCTCTTGTGACAGAGCGTTCCACCAGATTGGAGCCGCAGCAGAGAAGGCCCTGGCTCTAGTTGAGGCCAGCCTAACCTCTCTGAGGCCTGGGATCTTTAGGGTGTTTTTATTTGCAGACCGTAAATTTCTCTGTGGGACATACCAGGAGAGGCGGTCCCGTAGGTACGAGGGTCCTAGGCCGTATAGGGCTTTAAAGGTTAAAACCAGCACCTTAAACCTGATCCTGTACTCCACCGGGAGCCAGTGCAGCTGGTACAGCACCGGATGGATATGATCTCGCAGCGAAGACCCCGTAAGGAGTCTCGCCGTGGCATTCTGCACCCGCTGGAGTTTCTGGGTCAGTCTCAAGGGCAGCCCCACGTAGAGCGAGTTACAATTCAGTGTTATGATATATGGTGTAAGAATGCAGCCTGTCCTATGCATACTTACTTGAGAGTAACTCTGCTGAAATTAATACGACTTCCAGAATAGACACACTCAGGACTGCACATTTATTTTATTTGAAATTTACATATTTCATAAACTATATCACAGTGGTTTACAGATTTAAAATACAACAACAACAACACAATACCCCATGGAATCTGGACAATAAGAGAAAGAAACACAAAACAGCACAGGCCAGCTGAAATAAACAGGGTTATTGCTTTTCTTTTCTTATTTAGCCAGCAGGAAGGCTGTGACAGTAGAACCATTTCTTGGAAAGCAGTTCCTCTTATGACTTCCTCATTAGACAGAAGCTGAACCAAGCCATTGTTGTAAGTTCTTCCTATGAGGGAGGCTCATATGGGAGGAGACATCCCTTGAGGAAACCAGGCTGATTCACCTTTTAAAAGTCATAATCAGCACTTCAAAGTGATTGCAGAAATGATACTTCAAGCAGTGCAAGATGGCTCAAAACAGGCAATGTGGTATTCAACAGCTCGTGCCAGTCAACAAGCAGGCTGCCATAACCTGCACCAGTTTGAAGTTTCCAATTGTCCAGCCTTGCGGTTATGTCCTGACTTCCAGGCCTCTTTATTTGGTCCTCAAAACTCCACTGTGGACAGCTTCTGTAGTAAGCGTAAGCCCTGAGGTATTGTTCCTTTATGCCTTGAGACTTAGGGAGCTCCACTTCTGTTTCCATGGCCATCAGCAAAAACCTCTGTCTTAGCAGCCCCTAGAGAGACAAGGAGCACACAGTCATTGTTCAACTGAGAAAACAGATGAGTGAGGGCAACAGATACAAACTCACGGTGGAATCAGGCCTGCCTTGGGTCACAAGGCCCACGTTGCCTTTGGTTACAAAATAAACATGCATTTCCCAGCATGCTGGAGAGGGGCTCCCTGAAAACACTTTATCCTAGCTGGAGATGATGATGATGATTATTATTATAAATTTTATATCCCACCCATCTTGCTGGGTTTCCTCAGCCACTCTGGGTGGCTTACAACATATATAAAAACACAACAAAGCATCAAATATTAAAAAACAAAAATATCCTACACGGGCAACAAACAAACCAATAAATCAACAATAATAACAATAACAATAATAAACAGTTTACAGTTATACCCAAATTAAAATAACCGCCAATCCCAACAAAACATTTAACCAACATCAACCCGACAAAAACAAAACAGAAACCAAAATTGGAATTGTTTAAAACATTTTAGCCAATTGCCCCAACCCAAGAGCTGTTCCAGCAATGTCCCTCCAGCCCCCAGGAGTCTCTTTTTGGAAGGTCACAAAGTGGCTTCAAATCAGTGTGAAGATAAGTACAAATATGCATCCATGAATACAAGGAACAATACAAAAATGAAATTAAAACAACAGTAACAATGTAAATGTAAATACAGTGCCATGCATTCCTCTCATTACCTTGCGGAAATCCCTCTTTCTCCTTTCAGCCTCCTCTTTCATCTTCTTCATCTCTTCCTCCCACTCCTCCTTCAGCCGCTGGATGCCTTCCTCATTATGTCGCTTCTTATCCTCCATCATTTGCTCCAGGTTGGCCAGCTCCTGCTCCAAAAGCCTCTGTTGCAGCTGGGTTGCTTCAACCTGAGCACGCTGGACTGTGGTCCAGGGAAGAAACAGAGGCAGTGATTTGCTGGCAGTCAGATCAGGCATCCAAGGTGAATAATCTGGAGGAACCCTCTACGTTCATATGAACCTGGCTGTCTGTGTGCGCTATAATCATCTGCTCAGGCCTCCCTCTGGGGCTTGCCATTGCACTGGTGGTTCTAGGCCAAGATTTCCCCAAGTGGCAGAAGTTAATCCCCTGGGATCGACAGGAATGTGCAGCAGGTAAATAAAGACCAAGGGGCAGAAAGGTGGTAGAAAAGGGACTAGGAAAACACATGAGGTTTACAAGGTATAGAAAAATAAATAGGAACTATTATCCCTAGAAATAAAGGGCATGGGTACAGGGTCCACCTTCCTTGCCAGTGAGGAACCCCTGAATTTAATAAGATGGTTCCACAATACAGTACAATAGTATTCTCAGAGCATGCTGCTTTATTGCTAAAAAGTGATGCATAGGTGCAGTGTTTTACTTTTTAAATAATCGTTTTTGCAGCGTTTTTGCATTTTCCCCTCATTTACATTCCTAAGAAGCAGTCAATTACAACTTTATAAACTCATCAAGGTGTCAATGAACTCAGGGTTTGGGGAAACCCTGATCTGGACTTTTGAACAGGGTCCCAAACTTGGGTTTCCAGCTGGTTCTGGACTACAATTCCCATAATTGTAACCATTGGTCCTACTAACTAGGGATGATGGGAGTTGTAGTCCAAAAACAGCTGGAGACCCAAGTTTGGGAAACCCTGCTTTAGAACCTCACCATGCTGTTATCTTCTGGACACCAATTAAAATCTTTGGTGTCCCCACACTTACAGTGGCATTTAATCTGTGGCATTCATAAATTATAATATAGCGCTTCTGTTTCCCCAAATCTGTACCTTCAATTTCTTTCTCTTTGCCACTCAAGGCATCATCCATGTGAAGGATAGATTTTGCCACCGTCTCCTTGGATTTCAGGAATTCTTCAAGAGCTCTGTCTGCCTGATAATACATTGGGAGCAAAAGTTATTAATTTTGCCAAAAGATGAGGAAACTGAATATTCTGTCCTGCTGGGATTAAATACCCAAAGGTAGTATATGAAGTAAGCGAGTAGTTTATTGACACGCTGAGAAACTGATGTTGTTTACTCATTGAAAGATATATATCCAGCCTGAAGGTCCCAGGCCACAGAGAGGTTAGGCTGGCCTCAACTAGAGCCAGGGCTTTTTCGGCTGTGGCTCCAATCTGGTGGAAGGCTCTGTCACAAGAGACTAGGGTCCTGTGGGACATGACATCTTTCCGCAGGGCCTGTAAGACAGAGCTGTTCCACCAGGCCTTTGGTCAGGGCACAGCCTGACTCCCTCCTTTGGCAATCTTCACAGAACTTTAGCCTAATGGTTGCCATCAATTTGAGTTGAATTAATTTTATAATGAAATGATTTTAGAATTTTGTACTATTTTATTGTTGTTAGCCACCCTGAGCCCGCCTTTGGCTGGCGAGGGCGGGATATAAATAATAATAATAATAATAATAATAATAATAATAGTAATTATTATTATTATTATTATTATTATTATTATTATTATTATTATTATTTTAGAACAGAAATCCTCACAAGGTAACGGAGAGAAATCATTACAACTAAAAACAACAACTATATCCCTTAAAATGAGCCAGAAAAGAACAGTAAAAAAAAACCACCAGTGATATAATTGTTAGGATTCTTGCTCTGTGTTTGCAGTCATGAGATTGTTGTCTATCACATGACAGTGTATGTTTTCATTCCACAGTGTGGGAAGTGACAGAGACAGGATGTTTTGGTATTACTGTGTTCCGTGAAGTGGGACTATTGTCCTTTGTTCTTTCTCTTTGCTGTCTGATGAGAAAGAGGAAGGAGCTAAAGCAGAATGCTCCGAGTGTATTATATGTAAATGAAGTAGATTAGCCAAAATGCTGTGCTACTGTGTTCCGTTACGCAAACTGCAAATACTCTGCAGGATCCCTGAGTGTGCTGATGCTTCTTGGTATCAGTCGCTGTGATGTTCGGGCTTAAGAAAGCTTTTGAAGCTCCCAAACAATCAACCAGGAGGGAGAGAACATGCCAGTCGGGCATGTGTCTCTGCCAGGGTCCTACACACAAGGAGGACGATCCTAACAATAACAATTGATAAAAGTTAATAAAATGTGGATCGGCATTAAAAATGTTTTGAAGTATTTGTAAAACTCACTAAGGAGGGGACAATTTTCAGACATGTTTGTGATTGCTATGAATCCTACAATGAGACGATTCCTCTTCAACCAGTTTAGTACCTTTGCATCTTTACCCCCAACTGGTGAATTCAGTGGGACATACTCCCAAGTAATCATGCATTAGATTGCACTGTAAGTCTGCCCTCAGTCAGCAACAGGATCCCCACCTCTCTGAGTGTCACAGAAGTGCTGCTCCTCCTGTCCTACCTGAATCCCCTTTCCATCAAATGCATCATACTTCTCCTTTATTTCGTTCATCTTGGCAAGGTAGCGCTTATAGCCTTCAGGCACTGCGTAAATCCCCTCCTGGATCTCAGATACCAGGTCCCGGGAAAGAAAGCGCAGCACATCACGGCAGCGGTCCAAAGACACCTTCTCATTTCTTTCGCAGAATGCCTTCTTTTTCTGATTCAGCTTATTCTACCGGACGAAAACAGAACAAAGCACCAGAAAGATGACACGTTAGCAATGATGAAAAGTTTCCTCCCGAGTGTAATTACAATGGGAAGACATACTAAGGCCACATACTAATACGTTTTTATATTTGTTAGAAGCTGCCCAGAGTGGTCGGGGCAACCTGGTCAGAAGGGAGGGGTACTGTTGTTGTTGTTGTTGCTGTTTACACTACAAAATTCAATCAGTGTGAGATTGACTTAACTGAAATAGTTATGTCAAGACACACACACACCCCAAAATGTGGGAACTGTCTGCAACTGCAGTAAATAATAATTTATTACTTATATGCCACCCATCAACAGTAATAACTTCTGGGCAACTTCCAACAATTATGAAGCCACAGTAAAACATTAAACATTTGCTTTATAGCACCGATTTTTGTGGTTTTGCTGTTTGTGCCACTGATCTTCTGTTGTGATTTTTAATCTGTTTTTAAAGATAACGCTTAATTTTTATGTAAACTGTTTCGAGGTCGTTTGTGACCAAAAGTGATGTATAAGCGTATTAAATAAATAAATGGGCATGGGCTAAAGTGCAGGCAGCTGACAAGAGAACACACCTCAAGCTCCTCTTGAAATTGTTTAATGTTGTCCCCAAAGGCACGGGCTATGAAGACGTCAATGGCCTCCCTCTCACACTTGGCATGTGCCCTCAGCAGCTCTTCAAGAGTGTCGGTCGGCAGCTGCAGCAGCTGCTGCATCCGTTCTTCATAACAGGAAATGGCGTCATGCACAGCAGCCGAATTCTCGATCTGGGACAAGGCCAGCACTGCGTTTTGCAAGCAGGGCACGTCCCCACTGTTGATGGCATTGACATAGGTCTTTGCCAGGCTTGCGAGCACTGAAAAGGGAAAGATTGTTGAAGCCAAAGAATCAGAGATAATCGAAGTGGAATGCACGGCTTGATTAACCGCCTTACGTTGAGAAAGAATTTGCAGACCCAAACTGCCTTGAAGTGTCCGCCCACATCAGCAAGAGAGTGAGGACCAAGTATTCTGTATCTCTTGTGTCATGCAAGAACAGGATCAGGATCTTGCACCTAACGTAGTATGAAGTAATCCCATTCGTTTTCAGAAGAAGGGCTCTAGCCTTCCTAGCTACAAATAAGAGCTTGAAGACGTGAAAAAGCAGAGGGGGATGAGGACCACCATTCAATCACCATCTCTCATAGTTACTTTGCTCTGCTCTACTCCCCGCCCCCTATAAATCTCAGTCCTAATTTGATCCCTCTGTGCTGGACTCTGGTTCTTGCCCTTTGTGCTTCCCTTAAAATTGAAACTCTTAAAAAAAATTAAAAACCTACACTGAAAGCAGAATAAATAATGAAAAACAAACCAATTCATTTGATTTGCATAATTTATGCAACAGAATTTGCGTGTTCTTGTTGCAAAATGGGGAACCTGTGACCCTCCAGGTGTTGCTGGACTGAAACTCCATCACGCTTGGCCATTGGCCATGCTGACTGAGGATTTGGGGGGGCCACAGATTCCCCACCTCTGCCCTAGGAACAAAGAGCAGGTTAGAGGGTGCTGCAGCAGACTGATCATTTCCAAATGACAAGGCAACAGTATAACAAAACAACTCATCATTTGGGATTAGCTAATCTGTCCATTTCAATTTTGCTTTCTCATCTCTCCACTCCTTTTCACCTGCTGGCAAAGGTGCTTTCAGCAGGCAATCAAGTGGGCCAGGGCAGAATCAGCAACTTCATACGGTTAGAGGGGGGAACCCCATTGGTTTTTGATGTTACCTGATCATAGCTGTCAACTTACAGATTTGAAAATAAGGGACCAGCAGCCTCGAAAATAAGGGACCAGCAGCCAAAATAAGGGATTTTCCAAGCACAGGTATGTTCAACTTCTGAGCCCCTCCGAGCCAAAGGCAGAAAGCCCAGCCAGCAGCCAAACGAAGGCTCAAGCAGTGGTTCCCACAGCACAGCAACCCGGCAAAGGGGACACAGCAAGGAAAACCACCGTCACCTCTCCGCTGGGAAGCGCTGAGCAAAGGAGAGTCCCCAGGCAATGCGGCCGATTTGATCGGCACAAGGCATGCAAGCTCCACCCCCCAGTCATTCTTAGACTCCTTATTGGGTGAGCAACGCAGCCAAGCAACACAGTTGGAGCCTCCCTCCTCTCTGGCCGGCAGGGAGGGAGGGAGAGGAGCTGCTTCCTTTGAAACTCAGGAAATTTAAGGGACATCATCAATAAGGAACAGCAGCGGGACACAGCGCTGGGATAAGGGACTTTCCCACCAAATAAGGGGCGGTTGACAGCTATGCACCTGATGTCTGCTGGACTGCTAACTTCAGCCATCTACAATGGTCAGGCCAACAGCTCATTACACCTTCATGTTGCTCTGGTGACAAAGGGTCCCTCCACCACCAGTTTGACAGCTGTTATTGATACCATAACAAAGCTGGGCAAAGCTATATTGGGCTTGATTCAAAGTGCAATACAGGTAATTGACCAACACAAAAGGGTTGACGAGCACAAATTAAGACCTCTGTGACATTGCAGCACAGTCAATACACTGCTCCTTATGGCTTCAATGAAAGAAAGCTTCCTACATCCCCCAAGCCTACAATTTTGCTGGAGCTTCCTTACTCGTTCCAGTCACAACTCGGTCTCCTGGGATCATCTTGGGTCGTGACGTCTCCCAGATGTGTTGGCAGAAATGAGCCACTGGTACCAAGAAATCTTCCTCCAAATCCTCTTCTTTCAGTTCCTCCAGCAGATGCAACTTCTTCCTGGTAGTTGGACGGTCAAATACGAAACATTTCCGTGAAGGAAAGAAACTGTGGATGCATGATCTGGCCGTGTTGTGCTTCTGGATGTGCTCAGCATCACCTAGGAGAAAAGATGAAGAAGGGGTGTAGGTATGGGGGTGGTGCAGTTCTTTGTTAGTATTGTGCCGACCTAAAGTTCCAGAATGCACCTCTTGCAAAACAGTGACAGTCTGCAGGTGTCATTTGGTTTCTCTAATCCAGGTGTAGGGAATCTGTGGCCTTCCAGATGTTGCAGAACTACAACTCCCAGCCACCCTGGCAAGCATACTCTGTCATCAGCAGGTGGCGATGCCCAGAACACCTTTCAAAATAAAACAAAATATCCCTGCTGAACAGAAAACTCAAATCGATTAGAAGGAGGTAAGTGGAAACAAGAAGGGTCAAGGAAGGATCTGTCCTGATGTTGCATTTGGTTTCGGCTACCGCACCTTGCAGAAATCTCAAGGCGTTCTCCAGGTACTTGTCTGCACTGATAGGGCATCCGTTTAGCTCCAGCTGCAGTGTGAAATCCCGCAAGGCCCAGATGAAGTCTGGGAAGAATCGGCCAAATTTGGTGAAATTCTCCTCTTCTTGGCCATCCCCAGAGGGATATTTTGCTCTGATTGCTTTTGTCAGCTCAGTGACATAGCTGGGGCTTGCTAAGGAAAAGGACTGCAAGGTTATCGTTGGGCCTTGCAATCTGAACTTCTCCCAAGTCATGCATTGACTGTGGGCACACAGTAGTGGTCTGGTGTTGCGTTCCAAAAGCAAGGAAGAAATACACACGAGGCTTCACCAGAAAGACTCTGGGACGAAGCGCCAATAATAATCTGTCCACCCCTTGGCCCAGGTCGTTTTATTCACAAAAGAACTTTTTACACAGTGTTCGTAAGAACCAATCAGATTTTCTCTGAGCATTTAACAAAACCTCACATGGGACAAAGTCAGATCAGAAGAAATCCTTCTAACTACAAAGAAAGTACCATATTTCCTACTTGAGCATGCATACGTAGTTCAGAGTAAATAAAATAGGAATCAAGGAGGAATGCCTTTAGCAAACGCCGGAGGTCATAAACAGCAGGAAAGGAAGGATGGCAAGGAAATATAGGCATCTTTATCATCTCCTTGTGAACTCTCCTCCTGGCCCTTAGATTAACAAAACTAACAAAAGCTACCTTCTATCTTTATGACCCAGGATGCCTGGTGAACAGCTGCTCTGTGTTTAGAATGCGTGCCTGTCAGTTGTAAAGAAAGAAAATGGCAGAGGTGCAGAGGCTTGTGGGATTTGATCAGAAATTATTGTCAATGAATCAAGCCCAGTCAAAGCAATGCTTTCATTGCTGACACAATGGCATGCTCCATTTTTCATAATTCCTCACAGCAATCCAATCTGACCCCCACAGTCTGGGCAAGGCTTTGCAGCTGAACCTGGCCCTAACCCCTCCTGGCATATCTTGCTTTACACGTAATTGGGCCCATTCCCATTCCTGCTTGCTTCTGGGGTTCCTAGATGCCCTTCTTCAGCTGCCTGCCAGTGAAGCACACTTCAGGGAGTTCCCAACAGGAACTGCAGCTGAAGGTGAAACTACAGGACCTTAACTGTGTAGCCCTGCCATTTAATGCAAGGTGTACCACTCACACACAAATTGTCAGTGCAGTGTGAGAGATACAGATCAGGATCCTGGGACAGGAGACATTTAACCCTTTGCTCTCCCTGCAATCCCAGTCTTGACCAGGAGCCTCATACTTGCATTAAGCACTGCAAAATAAAGTGGGGCAAAGATCCAAGTCATTTCAATGGTGCCTTTTTGCCATGCAAATTGTGATATGCCATAGAATCATTGAGCTGGGAGGGACCCCAAGGGTCATCTAGTCCAACCCCCTGCAATGCAGGGAACTCGGCTAAAGCATCCATGACAGAAGCTTAAAAACATCCAAGGAAGGAAAGTCCACAAGGGAGGGAGACCATTCCACTGTCGAACAGCTCTGACAGACAGAAAGTTCTTCCTGATGTTAAGTTGGAATCTCCTTTCTTGAAACCTGAATCCATTAGTACAGGTCCTAGCCTCTGGAGCCGGAGAAAACAAGCTTGTCCCCTCTTTCGTGCGACAGCCCTTGAGAGATCTGCAGATGGCTATCGTGTCTCCTCTCGGTCTCCTCTTTTCCAGGTTATACGCACCCAGATCCTGATCCAATCTGAATCAGGACCACAGCAGGGGTAACTGGTCAAAGGCCTTGGCTTCTCCATACGGAAGTCCTGTTCTGGATTGAGACATCAGGCAGGTGTTTGTTTTCTTTTTTTGTGGAGAATGCGGACCCTATACAGTGGTACCTCAGGTTAAGTACTTAATTCGTTCTGGAGGTCCGTTCTTAACCTGAAACTGTTCTTAACCTGAAGCACCACTTTAGCTGATGGGGCCTCCCACTGTTGCCACGCCACAGGAGCACAATTTCTGTTCTCATCCTGAAGCAAAGTTCTTAACCTGAGGTACTATTTCTGGGTTAGCAGTGTCTGCAACCTGAAGCGTATGTAACCCGAGGCATATGTAACCCGAGGTACCACTGTACTCAACTATCCAGTTGAGTTCATGGGTGGTCTGACCCTCATCTATTCATTCCGAAAGCACAAACCCAGGGATGGGTGGACATTTGGCCCTCCAGATGTGGCTGAGCAAACAACTCCCATCCTGGGGCTGATGGGAGTTGGAGTCCACCAACACCTGGAAGACCACAGGCTCCCCATCCCTGCTCTGCCCCAGTGACCTGCTCACCTGATCCTTGGCAGGCTGGCTGCCCCACCCCCATCAGCTACATGCCCTGCATATTTCCTTGCCCCCCCCCCTGCACTCCCCCAGCACTTTGTGTTCCAAGGCAGACCTGGACAGGGAAGGTTTGCTCCACTTGCGACTACACCAAAAGCTTTCTCCCGCCAGGAAGTGCTGTCCTACACAGAAATCCAGCTGCCACGTGGTTCTGCCTTCCCAATCTTGTGGAGCTGGTTGGAACTGATGGTGCCCCCCAAAGGATACTGGAGCTTCTCCACGGCTGTTTCGTCAATGGTGCCCATGCTGTTATACACCAGGGTGCTGCTGAGAAGAATGGCCAGGGCAAAGACCCATGAATCCTTCTCCATGCCTCCCTGAAACAGATACAGATATTGTTTAAGACTTCTCATCCCAAGCCTCTGATACCCAAAATCCTGATGCCCCATTCTTATCTGCAGCTTTTTCCTCTGGGACCTGCATGTGCAAAGCAGCTGCTTTGAGATTTGTGTTGTTGCTTCTGTTGCCTTCCAAGCACTTTCAAAGCAGGTCTTACTCCCCAAGGAATCCTGGGAACTGTAGTTTCTTCAAGGTGCTGGGGATTGTAGCTCTGTGAGGGCTGCACTACAGCCCCCAGGATTCTTTGGAGTGGGAGGAACGTGCTTTTTGAAGGGCCCACACACCACACTGGAAAAAAAAATACTGTTGAGAGCTGGGTAAATAACTTTGACACAGGGGAAAGCAAAAGAAAAATAGCGTCCACACCAGGGGTCAGCAAACTTTTTCAGCAGGGGGCCGGTTCAGTGTCCCTCAGACCTTGTGGGGGCTGGACTATATTTTGGTTAAAACATAATGAACGAATTCCTATGCCCCACAAATAACCCAGAGGTGCATTTTAAATAAAAGGACACACTCTACTCATGTGAAAACCTGCTGATTCCCGGAATGTCCACGGGCCAGATTTAGAAGGCGATTGGGCCGGATCTGGCCCCTGGGCCTTAGTTTGCCTACCCATGGTCCACACCCTTCTGGGGCACTGATTTTCACATTAGCACTTAAAACTCCAAACTGAGGAAAGAAAGATGGTTCAAAAGCTGTAAAAATCTGCCTTTCAGCTATTCACAGACATGGCATTGGCTTTATGATTTATTGTCAGCTGATTTGGGGGTGTCACAAAACTCTCCCCCCCCCAAATGCTGGGAACTGTAGTTTGTTAAAGGTGTTGGAAATTGCAGCTTTGTGGGGGCATACTACAGTTCCCAAGATTCATAGAATCATAGAATTGGAACAGACCACAAGGGCCATCGAGTCCAACCCCCTGCCAAGCAGGAAACACCATCAGAGCACTCCTGACATATGATTGTCAAGCCTCTGCTTAAAGACCTCCAAATAAGGAGACTCCACCACACTCCTTGGCAGCAAATTCCACTGTCGAACAGCTCTTACTGTCAGGAAGTTCTTCCTAATGTTTAGGTGGAATCTTCTTTCTTGTTGTTTGGATCCATTGCTCCGTGTCCGCTTCTCTGGAGCAGCAGAAAACAACCTTTCTCCCTCCTCTATGTGACATCCTTTTATATATTTGAACATGGCTATCATATCACCCCTTAACCTCCTCTTCTCCAGGCTAAACATGCCCAGCTCCCTTAGCCGTTCCTCATAAGGCATCGTTTCCAGGCCTTTGACCTTTTTGGTTGCCCTCCTCTGGACACGTTCCAGTTTGTCAGTGTCCTTCTTGAACTGGACACAGTACTCCAGGTGAGGTCTGACCAGAGCAGAATACAGTGGCACTATTACTTCCCTTGATCTAGATGCTATACTCCTATTGATGCAGCCCAGAATTGCATTGGCTTTTTTAGCTGCCGCGTCACACTGTTGGCTCATGTCAAGTTTGTGGTCAACCAAGACTCCTAGATCTTTTTCACATGTACTGCTCTCAAGCCAGGTGTCCCCCATCTTGTATTTGTGCCTCTCATTTTTTTTGCCCAAGTGCAATACTTTACATTTCTCCCTGTTAAAGTTCATCTTGTTTGTTTTGGCCCAGTTCTCTAATCTGTCAAGGTCATTTTGAAGTGTGATCCTGTCCTCTGGGGTGTTAGCCACCCCTCCCAGTTTGGTGTCATCTGCAAATTTGATCAGGATGCCCTTGAGTCCATCATCCAAGTCGTTGATAAAGATGTTGAATAAGACCAGGCCCAAGACAGAACCCTGTGGCACCCCACTAGTCACTCTTCTCCAGGATGAAGAGGATTCTTTCGGGTGCTTTTCAGGAGCTCACACCACACTGAGGAAATAGCACAGTTGAGAGAGGAAAGGTAACTTTTGACACAGGATAAAGCAAAATGGAAGGCTAGAAGTCTAATGAACCGGCTGCTCCCAGGGCTGGCCCAAGACATTTTGCCGCCTGAGGCACAGTCCACATAAAGTAGCTGACCAGACTGGCAGCTATTATTTCAATGCTGTAACAGGGCAGCAGCATCCTCCACCACACATGAAGGCAGCAGGGAAGCTTGCAGGTCTCAGGAGGGACACATTCATTTCTGTCATCCTAAAGAAGGAACTGGTGGCAGTAGGGGGACCTCAGTCGTAACTGCTGAGAAGGCTGCTGCCAGACGCACATTTAGGAGAACATGACCAGTTCAGTCGCCCTGGGTGCAGAGCTTTGGAAGCACCGCAGAGGATACCATAACTTTTATTTAGAATGGAGTCCAAGAGGCAGCAGGAACCAAATTTTGGCTTCGCACAGGGCTCTGCTGGAATTTGAGAGCCCAAGGTCCACCACTGCTGCTGTTTTCCCTTCTCACCACCACCCGCCTACGGAGGCACCTGTGTCACTCCGCCTATTGACAGGGCTGGGCCAGTCATCTACTTGTACAGTCTCAAATGCCTGATTATCAGTGATCAAGTTTCACAGTTCATACAGCAAAAAAACTTCCCATTAATCCCTGAACAGTAGACAGTGAGTGACAGCCAGGTTTTTTTTAGTACTCTGTGGTTTTGCCTAATTCCCCGCTTTTGCCCAGTTTTCATGCCTGTCCTCTGCTATTTCCCCTGCATGTGCCATTTGTTGGCATCTGTCTCAAGAGACAATGGAGTGCACCTCCGGGGGTGAAGCCAACCCGCTGGAAAAATCACAGCACTGGTTGTGGCTGCAGAGACCGGTAACTTTTAAACGTCTGTCTCCCGTGTTGTTTTTGCTGCATTAGAAGCACTGAAGTGATCTCTCCATGATGCAAGCCTGGGCAGCGTGTATGGAGGTCCTGGGCTGCCCAGCCGACAAGACCCTGCTTCTCAGCCTCACTGATGTGGTCCAAAGGAAAGCAGAGCAATGTGTTTGGCACCAGCTTGGCTGCAAGATTTGCTGGAAGAGGCATAAAATCATAAGGCTATAGGCAAAGACCAGGCCATTTATTTCATTTATTTATTTTCTATACAGCTTTGCATGCCTGAAAAGAAATAGCATATAAGAAAACAAGTTGGACACAACTATTCACTTAGTTCTCTAGCCAGTTAGAAACTCAGATATATAAGCTAGGCGCCAAATGACTCCTTAAAACAGTACATACAGCGGAAGAGATAAGACCGCCTTCTGCTCCCACACTCTTCCCAGACAGGCATGTGATTTACACCAATCTCACCTGCAGCATTGGAGGCGGGAAATACTAACAGGTTACAGCCGCCAAAAACAGAATGTCTAGTTGCCATTTTGGGGCCAGGCAGCTCAAAAGTCATATTTTTCAATACAACTTTTTGGTTCCTGAAATTTGTTCTGATTGTGCAGATAAAATATTACAGAGAATTCTACAGGATGTTTAAAACAGGCAAGAGCCAAGGATCCCCAGGCATCCACCTTCATCTGGTCCCAAAGTGGCCAGTAACCGGGTGCAAAATGCGCTTGGAGAATTTCAAACAATGATCTGTACATAACACTGCAGTGAAGGTGTGGATGTGGTGATAAGATAGGGAAGTCAGCAGAAAACTAAGGACAACTAGCCCCATTTATTCCCATGCTGGAACTACTTTTTCTTTGGTGTGCTCCTTACATTCCTGGGTGGGTTGAATGGAAGTCTTCGAACATAAACTGTTGTATCATGGGAAGCCTTGCTTCTTCTTCTTCCTATTGCATTCTGGGAAATCTCATTTATAATCTCCTCTCTTGCTAATAATTTCTCTTCTTGCTACTAAGTGTGTAACGTACCAAGGCCACATACCAAAGATCTCTCCTCATTGTGCACAGGTCAAAAAGTTGGTGTTTATTCGCTCCCAATTATATTCTTTATGTTATGCTAAATAATTAGTAATTGCTTTAAGTCATGCTATAATCAATCTCTAGTTTTAATTTGATAAGGAGTTGTCATAAGTGTCTGAGCTCAAGTTCTTTCTTACCCTTTGATGTATTGAAGATTAATATACTTATTTAATCCCTCCTTGTAATTATACTACCCAATAAGAAATGAGTTTCTTTGTCTTCGTAACAACCAATCAGCAACTAGCACACCCATTGCATCGCTTGTTAATATTCAATAAAAGAAGAGCTCCCAGGTTTTTCACCTGGCAGAGTTACTTGCTTGACACCTTCTACTTGTCTGTCTGACTCCCATTTTGCAACAGTGGGTTTTTACTCCTTGGTGTGCTTCCTACACTCTGTGGTGCACTTTCACTCTTTTGTTGATTTAGAGCACTGGAAAACATCTTGTACTGCAAAAGCTGTGCTGCTATAGATGATACAGCTGCCGCCCCTTTTTCTATAGCAGACAGAATAAGGGCCGCATTGGAGTTATTATTTTCTTCTTTGAGACGTTGGATTTCATCTTCCATCTCATTGGCCCTCTGCTGAAATCCTTCCTTCAGCAGTTCCTCTTGTTCCTGGGAAGTTGAGAAGCACACAGAGACAGTTTAGTTGATGGATGGATAAGAAATGGGTCAGCATCTATGAACAGGGATGGGATCCGGCCAGACCTGGACCACTTTGTGTGGCAGTTGCGTTTTCGTAGCCAACCAATGCATTTCCCACTGTGTTGCCAAATGGCCTCCCATAAAACCAACTGTCTCCAAACTAGGTCTGCTTTTTTATTTTGAGCATATAGGGATTTGTGCAAAAATGACGTGGTTAACAGCAACAGAAGCTTGGCTGTGCGCAACAAACAAAATTCAGCTCAGTCCTGGCTCTGTGTCCTCAGGCAAGCCAATATCTCTCAATCCCAGCTGGACCCATACCTTCACAGATAAGAGATACAGTCAACGCTACAAATATTAATGGACTCTCATCATCCATGACCACTGGCTGAGGCCGATGGGAGCTGGAGGCCACTAACATTTGGAGGGTACTATGCGGACTATTCCATCCTATACTGTATGGGCAAAATTAGATCCTGACCCACCTGAAGGGGTTGTTATAAAGAGAACAAAGGAATTGTATAAGAAGTTGTTTGAACACTCAGGAAAAGTACTGTAGAAACACCAGCTAACGTCTATTGAATATATGGAACCTAGGTTTTACCAAGCCACAGTGAGTCACTGAAAAGCTCCCAGACAGTGCAGCTTTCTTGCCTGCAAGAGCATATTATGCCCATTTTAAAGCAAGTTCTCTAGTTAGGGATTTTCCAGGCACAAATCAAGGTGACGGCAATCACCTTTAAAGCATTAAATGCTGTATTTTTTGCACCATAACACTCACTTTTTTCCTCCTAGAACGTAAGGGGAAATGCCTGTGCGTGTTATGGAGTGAATGCCTGCGGGTGGCGGGGGGATCTGCTGCAGTCGTGAGCAGAGGATCCATGGTTCCTCTTCCTTCCCTCCTCCGTGGTTACAAAGCATGCATCCACATGGATCCTCAGGATTTTTGCATTGGGCTACTCCAAACTCACTGTCAGATCACATGTCTGTGGCCACAGCATGAACCACAAAAATCATATATCCACTATTTCGTTTAGAATATTATTTTTTTCTTGTTTTCCTCCTCTAAAAACTACGTGCGTGTTATGGTCTGGTGCGTGTTATAGAGTGAAAAATACGGTAATTTGTTCTTGATTTTGCTTGAAAGACATAGGGTTATGTGGCCTGTATAAAGAGGGTGATGGCATATCCGGGAATATATGGTTTATGTTGAGACATTTAGAAGGGTAAAGGAGGCTATCTGTGAACTAGATCTGGCCTTGAATGGAGGAAGAGTTCTGCTTCTAAGCATCATCCTAAGGAGAAAGGAGGAGCAGGGGAAATGGGACCCTCCAGATTTTTTTGGTCCATGAGCACTGGCCATACTGACTGGGAAAGGTGAGAGTTGGCTCCAGCCACATCTGGAGGACCACAGACTCCCCACCCCTGGCCTAAATATTGAATCTTCCAGTGGGTCAGTCTGCATCTGACTCAGCTCTCTTTACCTTGAGTTTATGCCGTATCATCTTTTCTGTTTCCTCTTCCATCAACTTTTTCTCTTTCTCCATCTTCTCCTTCAACAGCTGGAGCTGTTCATCGTGGCTTCGCTTCTCATCCTCCACCATTTGCTTCAGTCTGGCCTGCTCCTGCTCCAACAGCTTCTGCTGCAGCTGGGCTGCTTCGGCCTGAGCGCGCTGGGCTGGGGGCCAGCGAAGGAAAAGAGACAACATGAATACTGAGGGGGCTGCCATCTCCCGCCGCCATCTCCCCTTCACCCTGTGTTCTGTTCAATGTTCTCTCCTTGCCTGAAGATGAGAATACTACATCTGTCGCTATGCCATTCTGCAAAAAGGTACAACTGTAACCCTTCCCTGGGAACTCAGAGCCCAGCCAGAGAAGGCCAGGACGTTTACTTTCTAATACATATAATTTAGATATGCACCTTCAATTTCCTTCTCTTTGTCGGTCAGGGCGTGGTCCATCTGAAGGAGAGAGTTTGCCACCGTCTGCTTGGATTTCAGGAATTCTTCAAGAGCTTTGTCTGCCTGATAACACATTGAGAGCAAAAGTTATTCATTTTACACTATAATGGGGGGACAGACGAGATTATATATTGTGATTAAGGGCAAAAATTGGTGTATAGTAAATTAATAATTGTATCTTAATGAGGCGCTGAGAAATTGATAATAATGGTCCCTATTCCCTCTCACATAGCCTACAAGTCAAAGGTCTTTTAAACTATTTTATGTAAACCAATTTAATATATTTTTCATTGAACAGAGTTTATTCACTTTGGTAAGTAGACGAACAAACTAATTCACTTTGAATCAAGCCCTATTGAATTCAGTGGGGCTTTCTCCCAAGAAAATATTCACAGTATTGCACTCCAGGTCTAAAGTTTGGATCTGTCCTCAGTCAGTATAAGAATGCTCATTCTTTGGATATCACAGAAATGCTGGCTTCCTGCCCTACCTGAATTCCTTTTTCAGGTACCAAGTGGTATTTCTTCTCTATTTCGTCCCGTTTCTCCAGATAACGCTGGTAGCCACCAGGCACAGAATAAATTCCCATCCGGAGCTCATCTTCTAGCTCCTGGGAAAGATCCGTCAGCACGGCAAAGCAGCGGTCAAAAGACGCCTGCTCATTCTTCCTGCAGAACTCTTCCTTTTTCTGCTTCAGCTCTTGCTACAAGAGACAGAAAATTGGCAGAAAGATGATCTGTTAATAATGATGAAAAAGTTTTTCCTCTTCAGTGGAAAGACTTACTGACAAGGCCATATCAAAACTACAGTACAAATTTCAATTGACTTAGCTGTCCCCACTCCCACCAAAAATCGTGGGAACTGGCTACAACATCAATGATCTATAAGGGCTGCATTTCTAAAATGTAGGCCAGTTTAAATTGTCTGGCTCCACCTTTCCTAAAGTTAAAAAGTAAGTGCGTACCCAATCAAATTGCAATCCTACCAGTCTTCTGGGATATGTGTTTGTCTTCCATTTCATCTGGAGAATGTGTCTTTCACAGGTAACTAAGCGAGCAATCCTACAGCAAGATGCTCCACGATGAACGGGCTAGGATCCAGCGGATCTCTGGCTGAGCCAGGAAGTTCCCCACACAAGCAAGCTATGCTGGCTTCGCTCCCTCATCGGTTCAGTCGAGGATACACCAGAGTATCCCCCCAATCCCGGTTCAGCCATGACTCACATCTCGAGCTGGCCTAAAGCCTGAAAAGAGGGCATTTAAGGGGCATGGTGGGGGCAGGACCGGGGGGGGGGGAATCCTAAGTCTATTCTGCTCAGTCATATGACCTGGAAACCCAATGAAAACTCAGATGGCCAAGGGGATGGTGCAGTTCAAACACTTATTTTAAAGGTTTGTTCTCCCTCTGCCAGGCTTAGGATTGCTAGGCAAGTAGTAGCTCAATGGCTGAATGGAGTTTGGTGTATAACTTTACACCAGCTTAACTTACACCGGCCTGCTTTATGCCACCTTTCTATGTTCCTTTTTGCCTTTGGATAACAAGAGGCTGTCTCCATTCTGAAGCGAGGTTTTTAGAAAACCGTGCAAGTTTTGGAAGGCCCTCCTAGCTGCGATGCTCAGAGCTAAGCTAGGTAAGTGTTTACAGTGGTACCTCAGGTTAAGAACTTAATTCGTTCTGGAGGTCCGTTCTTAACCTGAAATTGTTCTTAACCTGAGGTACCACTTTAGCTAATGGGGCCTCCCGCTGCCACCGCGCAATTTCTGTTCTCATCCTGAAGCAAAGTCCTTAACCCGAGGTACTATTTTTGGGTTAGTGGAGTCTGTAACCTGAAGCATCTGTAACCTGAAGCATCTGTAACCTGAGGTACCACTGTATTCTGCTAAGTTTTATTTATTTTTTCCAGATCTTATTTTCTTCTAAATGTTTCCTTCAGCCAATTAACATTTATGTAGGAACACAGGAAGCTCCCTTGTACAGAGTCAGACCAGTATTGTCTATCCTTGGGGCAGCTCAGCCAGTAGAGCATCAGACTCTTAATCCTGTCTCATGTTGAACAACCACGTTGAGCCCCATGTTGGGTAAAAATATTCCTGTATTGCAGAGGACCCTCATGGCCCCTTCTAACTGTACAATTCTATGACTCTTTCTGCACTGACTGGCAGCAGTTCAACACAACTTCAGGCAGAGGAGACTCCCTGATATGCCACGCTGGCAGAGGTGTGGTTTTTTTAAAAAAGAGAACAGATTTACCTCAAGCTTCTCTTGTGATTTTTTTACCAGCGCATCGCCAAAGGCACGGGCCATGAAGATGCCAGTGGCTTCCCTCTCACACTCTGCGTGCACCGCCAGCAGCTCATTGACGGAGC